ATGTTTGGCATTTTGTGCTCATCTTTTATGTTTTCGGCATTTGGGGATTTTGAGGTTTTTTGGTTTTTTGGTTTTCGGTTTTTGGTTTTTGGTTTTCGTTTCTGGTTTTCACTTTCACCCGCTGCGGCGCCTGCTGCCGCAACATGTTGTCCAATTAGCAGACAGGGCACAACATAAAGCTGCCTCATTTCTGTGGCATGTACTTCAAATGTCATGTAAGTTGTTGTGGCCCGCGGGCACAAAAAAAAATAAATGAAATAAATACAACTGCAAGGAAAATGTAATGCTAAAGTGGGCTCATTAGGCTACTTCAAAAGCTAACCTCATAATCTCAGCCACAGGGCAAAAGGTTCAATTACAGACCTAGTTCCTTAAATTAGATGAAAAGAACATAAATTTGAAATCTTGTAGATGTATCATACATATTCCCGCTGGCAGGCACTTCAATCATTCGGCTGCTAAACTAATTAAAGAGTAAAATATGACTTGAGATTAAGCTTGAAGCTTACTGTTCATTTATTTTGTCCCTAAATTACTTATCATCAAACTGGACTGTTTGCTCAATCACAAATAATAGTAATAGTTCAATCAAACAACATAAAATAAGCCTTGAGCTTTTATTTGGCAATACATTTTAATATATATTTCAAAAGGCACCTTCAATCATTTAATCAAACAATTTGTTGGTAACAAAACAATGCATGCTGACATGCTTGACATCAATCATTTGCCATCAATCTACTGTCCATCATGACAGACCAGCTCATTTACGATCTAGATCATTTAAGCACAGCTTTGGCTGGTATCGAGGCTTTCAGCCTATTATTCTAGACTTTTAGAACATCTCGTTCAATCAACTACCATCAATCAGCCCACGTGTTCGCAGTAGAATTTAAAGCTTATTGCTTGTACTCTACGGCTCAACTTTCACCTTTTGTAAGAATACTCTTTAACGACCTACCTACATCAGGCTGAGACTTTCAATCAAATCGTTGAAAGCCCATCAAGAACTTTTCGTAAAGCTTTCCGCTATTAATCTAGATTTTCTTTCTGGCTAAAGTCAGTTCTTCAATCACACGCTTTTCTCATACCAGCTTTTGCAATCCATCACCTAATCTCAATCAAACCAAGCTCTTCAATCATTGACTTTCCGTAATCCAAGATAATTAGGGGCTATTATTTGCGAACCTATCTTTGGCTATTTCCAGCATTTGTAAGGCTTAACAGTCCATTCGTAGAAGACACCTACCATCAATCTCACCTAGTCGCTCAATCATTGCTCATGACCTTTGCTCCATTTACGAGCTTTTCAGCAAAGCTTTTAGCCATCATTCAGGCCCAATAACCGCAAAGCTTAACCCCGCCATCAGCTCACAGTCTAGAGCCGGGTGGAGGCTCGTTAAGCGCCTGTTAATGACGCAATTTCCGTGCAGTGACCACCGTGTGCGACCTTTGGGGTCAGAGCGGTGGCCAACGTATAGCATACACGTATATCGTATTGTATAAACGTAGATATTGGAGCGCACACAACTTCCTCTTCTGGCTAATTAGCTTAGCGCCGTTAAACTGTTTGCTTGTTGAACTACACGAGTCGCACATTTCTATGGCATCGATGCGAATTGCCCGCCTACAGTTACTCAACGTTGGGCAGTTCTTCCACTCCATCTTGCCGGCTTTTTTTTTGGTTTAGGTACTGCTGGGGTGTGGGTTTTGCCAAAATGGCAGACAATAAATAAAGCACACACAAAAGGAAGGGCACAGAAAGGGGTTGCTGCTGGGCGGCTGCTGCGGCAGATAGCTCGAATTGTTGTCTCCAAAACATGCCGCAAGCACAAGCATATTTGATGGGCGAGCCAGGGACCCTTAAAGGACATTCCGCTACACACACTTCCGGGCCATTACACTGAGAAATGTGACACAATTTGAATAACATTTAAAATATATAAAATTGAGCATCAATTCGGTCCAAGGAATGGGCACCGAAGTGGTTCTTAAGCCCACCAAGCGAAACAGATACTTAAAAAAAAGAAGACAACAAATGTACGCAACAATAGAGTGTTATCGATTGGGCATACCCTGTGTTCAGTTGCGTATCTCAGAATTTTCCTGGGATATGTTACAGTATAAGTGTACAGACAACTAAGATTATTATGTGTGAGTTTTCTAGCGGGACAAAATGAGTGGAAATATGGGAAAGTGGAATAGCTGGAAATTAGGCACCATCCATTGTATTCCGTCAGATCATTTGACTTACACAAATAGAAAATCTGCAAGGACTGGGTTGTCGATGGTTATTAAGAAGCTTCAGACGCTGTGCTCATACAAAGAGCTTCTCTCTGTTATACTGTTATATTTTTGCAACTACTGTTATACAGCTGCCAAGCGCTATAAGCAAGGTGTATTGCATATAGCCTAAAAGTCTTGATAACCTGTTGTGTCTTGTGATCTGTTATACAGAGTCTTCTATGTGTCTATTTGCTTTAAACACGCCATAGCACAAGTAGTACATATTCGCTGATATGTAGCTTCTGGTTTACAGTTACTGTTAGATTCTGATTGATAAATACAATTTACCAGAGTGTCAACGTTATCAAATATGACTCATTTAACATTTTTTCTGATATGCTCCTTGCGCTAAATCAAAGTTAAACAATCATGTATTTAATATGTTCTGTTATGCTTCGCTTTTCATATATAGCTAAATATATTCAGAATGTTATAAGACTGTTAATTACACTCTGTTATACTTTGCTCTTCATTTATACTCGCACATATTACTACCGTTATTAATACAATTTGTGTTATTGAATTCTAGTATTTACATTGCTGCCCGACAAATACAGTTATACACAACATTCCAACCGATATACGCCTCGACTTCTGCAGTTGAGTTATGTATCTTTCTTTATAAGTCTTCTGTTATACAACTTCAGCCATACAATCTTCTCTTTATGTGCACGCTTTTCATATATACAAATTTATCTGTTATATAACATTTATTATATGGCTTGATCTTACAGGGTATTTTGAGGGGACCAAATATGCATGTGTAAAAACTTGATTTTTGGATGTTATGTCGAATTTGGCTAACGCTCTTTTTAACTCTTATGTCATGGCTTTCTGTTATACACTTAAGCACAACTTTACAGGGTATAAACGAAAGCAAACAGCTTGAAATTGTAGAGCAGCCCCGTCCATTGTCTACGGCTGCGCCTACACATGTTGCTGTCGGTTGTCTTTTGGGCAAGGGAACTGAATGAATCTTTGGGCTCCAGCTCGTCAGCGTCTGTGTCTGCGGCCTTTTCCACTTTTCTTGTTTTCTTGCTTATTTTCTTTTCTTGTTGTTGTTTTTCTTTCTTTCGTTTTTTTTTTGACTAAATTGCGTAAATTATTGGCATATGTTGTCGAGGCGAGCGCAATGAAACATTTTAACCCTTTTCGTTGGCTGCGTCGAGGATGTCGCTGAAATTGACAGTCGCACATTGTTGGGGCGCGGCTGGTAACAAGCGGAAGATGGGCACCGAGGACAGGAGCAGACCACGGAGCAGCCAGATGGATGGGAGGGGGCAAGGGATAGGGTATGGTGAGGTTCAGTCAGGGGCAGCCAGATACTTTGGCATGGCATTTCATTCCAATTTTGCGCACGCCCGCCCCGCCCCGCCTCCGGCTGCCAGTTGGCTGTCAGTTTTGTTCGCTTCGTTTTCCTTGCCTCGCTCCTTGCTTTTCCTTTTCTTTTCAACGTTATTTTATTTTTTTTTTTTGGTTTTCTTGGCGTTTTTGTTTTTTTTTTTTTTTTTTATCATTTATTCCCATTCTTTGGCATTTTATGTGCGCTATTTCGCGAAGTAGAACAATAGCCCGACACTGCAAACTGGAAGTGGAGCTGGGAAATGGGTTTCGTTTTGGATGCCGCCCGACTAGCTGGTCCCGGCCTGCTGCTCGTAGGATCTGCTGGCCCATTCATCCTTCTGCTGCTGCTGCTGCTACTGCTTCATCTTGGTGCTCTCTTTTGTTACAACTAAACGCGGACTCCGCACTATACTTCATCTGCGGCAGCTACTTTTTTAGCGACCCCTGCACCTTCCCCCGCCACTACACGCAACCATACTCTGGACACCCCTTTGGCTGCTGGTGTTATCCAACTTTATTGTCTTGCCAAAGAAATAGACTTTTAATATACCCGGAGCCTAGCCCGGCACACAATACATGGACTACCATTATAGTGGTGTGTGTGTGTGTGTGTGTATGTGGAAATATTAGGCGCTTTTGCCAGTTCATTGACTTGCCACAACAATAGTTTGAAGTTTGTCTGCCAAAATATGAGCGAACATTTTAGAACCTAGCCAGAAGGAGAGGGCGGGACGGAGGCGCAGGACAATTGCGAACACTGCTGGAAACATGAAACCATATACGGCATGGCCCAGGCAAAGTTGAGCCAATAAACGAAGGGAACTACATCGAAATAAAAAGAATCGAAATGCAATCCCAGCAATTGGGGAGAGAAATCGACAGATTGGTGAAGCGTGAAGGGAAAGAAAATGATCCAAAGCTAAGGGAGCAGGTGAAAGACGAGATCCACAGCGTCATGAAGTGATCTGATAGGCCAAAAAGACAATAGAAAATAATTGAAATGTTTTAACATGCAATTTTTAAAGAACGGGAACAGAAAATGAGACATAAACAATATGTGGGAGGGCGAAGGTGAAAAACGGTAGAAAACCAATCAAACTTAGAGCAAATCATAAGATCGACCGATCAGTGAAAAGTTACATATACTTCAATGATCTTGCGCGAATATTTCTGAGCTATATACATCTAAACTGCCTTGCTTCTCTTTTCTTCTTCCTTTTCCAAATTATTCATCAAAAAGGAAGCTACACCCAAAACTAACATTAAGCATGATAAATGTGGAATAAGATGAGAAAAAAATATACAGATAAAGCTTTAAATATGAAATACAATTTTTGTTAGTCAAAGTAGGCTTGTGGGCAACCGGAAAAACTCAGAGCAAAAAGCTAAAGGCACATAATAACATCGAAATTCGAAAGCTGAAAAAAAAAAAACAAATTATTTTTTTGGTTTAGTAATCAACCAGAAGCCCCATCTGAGCAGAGCGGGTGGTCCGTGAAAGCAGCCAAAAATCGAGATGTCTGACAAGCAGCAACAGAAGCCAGCAAAGCCAGCAAAGGCAGCGAAGGATGCGAATCCGGGCAGCAGCGGAAACAGCAATACGCGACCCAATGCCAGCCAGATGGAGCAAACGGAGAATACGAATGTGTTTAAGCAGCTCTTTGCCACGCTCGAGGCAGAGCACCAGAAGCTACAGGATCTGGAGCAGCGTCGTCTCAAGCTCACCGAAGAGATGAAGAATCTGCGCGATATGCTGCAGCAGGAGAACCGCAGGCTGCGCAGCAGCTCCGAGGAGGCTCAGGCCCGCAACAATGCCTCAGCAGGTTCAACATCAGCCGGAACAGTTCTCAGTTCTCTATTTGGCAAGAAATCGAAGAGTGTCAAAATAGCCAAACAGCCACCAAGTGAGTAGACACTCAGAGCTAAATAGCTGCATCTGCTGCTAAATTGACAATCAATTTGCAGAACAAATCGCCAATCAGCTTCAAATGCCCGACCATATTGACCAGGGCATGCTCTTGACCACATTGGATAATCAAATGGCTGGGCGTGCCGGCAAGGAGGAACTGCAACTGATGCCAGCGGATCTGTGCGAGCCACCTGGCCCACAAACGTCCGAGGTGCTCATCCAGCTAATCGATTCGAGCTCTGCCATGAGGCAGCTGCAGACAATCGAATTGCCAGCTCTATGGCATACGCCCGTCAGCTCAGTGGATCTGGCGTCATTTCTACAGATGTCGAACACATCCGTGGCCCAATCAGGCACTGATGAGTCTAGAGACGCTGAATGAGTGCGTCGAGAACAGTTTCGCGGTAACAGGCTAGATCGATTCAGGTGCTCAGCATAGCCATACTATAGTATATATACCAGGGGAGCCAACATAAAGTTCACTTACAAATTTTAGTATTCAATGTTTGACATAAGTACACAAAAGCCTACCTGATCAGACTGTATAACAACTAGTTGATTTCTATTCAATGGGTGGACACACTAAATACCCTGTATACTGCCCAAATACTATTCAGCCGAGAGCACAACAAACCAAGAAGAGAAACATAGATGAAGTACTCAATTGCAAGCAGTTCTCGGCAAATGAATCTCAAGGCCCAAGGCAAGTCCAGGGATAAGGTGTTCTGCTCCTTCCTTGTCTCCCAAGCTAAGGCAACAAGTACTATTTAAAAAGAATTTAATCATAATATCTTTTTCGCGCTGATATTACGAACTCTAAAAATATTTCAATGACGTCTTTCATTTTTTAACAATTAAATATATAATTTTTTAACGCCCCACAAAAGAGATCTATTATTCAATATACTGAATTATATTAATCTATTTTTACTTTGACATTTTTTTTATAAATAAGGATTTTCGGATTTGAATTATTTTAGCTTCAAATCGAGGACGAAATATTACATTCTAAAAACTTTCTCTCGCTCTTTCTTCTCTTTTCTCTCTTCGCACTTTCTAGCTCTGTTTTCCGCTCTCGTATTTTCTCTCTTCTCCCCATTCTTCTCTCATTTTCTTTTTTCCTCTCTTTTTTCTCTTTTTTCCTTCCATCTGTCTTACTTTTCTGCTTCTCGTTTTTTGGTCCACTTTTCTCTGTACCATTCTCTCTTCTTTTTTTCTCTCTTTTTCTCTACCGCTGTTTCCCTCTGCCTTTTTCTCTCTCGGTTTTTCTCTTTCGCTTTTTCTCTCTCCCTTTTGTTCGTTTTCTTTTTCTGTGTCGCTCTTCTTTTCTTTTTCTCTCTTTTTCTCGCATGCTCTCTACTTCTCTGTTGAATTGCTGTGCGTTTTTTTTGTAATCTTTATTCAATTTGTTGACCTTTGTGTTTCGTTTTGTTTGACTTGGCTCCTGCTGCCGCTGGTGCTGCCAGTTGCCGTTCGTTTCCAAAACAAATTAGTTGCCAACTGTCCGAAACAAATGTTGCGCACGTCCCAGTTGCCCACTATCGACCCCCGAGCCCCCTCTCGCGCACACCCACACACACGCAAGCACCCACACGTAAGTACATATATGTATACTGTAATATATATATTTTTTATATATAGAGGAAATCATATCAAGCTCAGCATTTCAATCATAATGCTGCTGATGAGCTGAGCTGGCCATTGGCGGTGCAGGGTGGCGCAGGGTGGTGCAGGGTGGCGAAGGGTGCTCTAGGCGGGTGCATGGCTGGGCATTGGGCAATCTCCAGTGGGACAGCTGAATGTTTGGGCTGGGATATGCCTGGCCGAGGCTCGTGTGTGTTAGTGTGTATGTGTGTGTGTGTACACAAGTACGGGGCATGTGCTGGGCATATTGATTGGTGGCCAGTATCCTCCGCCCCCCCCCCCCCCCCGCTTCGGCCCCATCGCTCATAGGCACTGTACGTGCAGCCCGTCGAGCTGAGAGAGGCGTCCCCGTGCACTGTAGGTTGTTGCCATTTTTATTATTATTATTTTATTTTTTGTGGCTACTTCAGGCTGCCTGTGCGACTAGGTCAAGAGGTCAGGCCACGTGTACTGGCTGGGCGAAAGGGCGGCAAATTTGTCAGTGGAAGTGCGCACTCAAGTAAGCGGACAGAGGGGGGTAGAGATTGTAGGCATTCCTTCATGTACCATGCAAATTTCACTGCACAAAGTTTGTGTTTGCAACATGCCCGCCCAACCTCTTAAGACCCCTTGCCACCACGACGGCTGCCATATTTCGCATATTTTGCCATATATATATTTTTTTGTATTTTTTCATCTGCCAGCGCAAATGCACTTGAAGTTTTGTCGTTGTTGTTATTGTTGTTGTAGCAGGAAGCCGGAAGCCGTAGCCGTAGCCGAACCCAAACAGAACGCGGAACTTCTTGCAAGTAAACTAAACCAAACTAAACTCAAACCTGAACTCAAGCCCAAGCCCAAGCCCGAGCCCGAGACCGAGCCCGCTGAGCGTAGCAAACAACTTTTGCCTGCAGCACCTGTCCCCAATGGGGGAGGGGCAAACCAACAACGCCCACAGAAATTACTTATGTATATTATTGTTGTTCCTAGTCGTTGCAGCAAGGGTAAGGGTTTGCGGCGGGTAGGGGAACCCGTGAAGTAGGTCATTAGGGGCGTTCTTGCTGTCCGCCCGCTGGGCTACTTGAATTATTAAATGTTTGTTCATAGAGAACATTTCCCAGGACCTGCCAGTTGCAACGACGTTGAAATGCTGAAAAGTTTCCCAAAAAAAAAAAATAAAATAAAATAATAAAACGGAAGAGAATCAAAAACTCCTGGCGGACTCTTAAATTCAGTTTGGACTATACCCTCTACACATTAGAAATGGGCATGCAAGACGAACCGACGCCTTACCATAGGACGCGATGCAGCTAAGCTTGTCGAACTGTGCCCATTGATCCAAATATTTCCCTAAATACGCACATTTGGGAACCACAAGAGCTGGATATACCAAATCTGGTACACGTAAGGATGGGAATACAATTTGTCTTAGAACAATCGGTAAGTAGGCGTAAAGGTCGTAACAAAGGAGAGTACATAAGTCTAGGGTATGCCGTAGTCTAGCACTTTAGACTAGCATCTTCTTACTTGTTTGTATGCATCAGTTGCAACCGTTTAAGTGCAAGTTGTCGGGCAGCAGTTGGACTCAGTTGCAATCATATCTTACCAAAGCATTGCGTAATTTATAAACTTCAATGTGCGAAACTTACCTGTGGAGAGGGAGAAGAGGGCAAGAGGAAACATTATTAGCAATAAATACGAAATGCAGCTTAAGAAATTATGATTTAAGTAAAACTCGGCAATAAATACTCTAAAGCATTAGGAAAACCTTAAGAAAATAGCTTAAACGAAATAAATTACGATTGAAAATGTATTTATTTATTTATATTACATTTAACTAATTGACATTTTACAGTGAACTGCATTAAAAATAACTGCAATGCCAACAGCACTCGACTGGAAAATACCCTAGAGTTAAGTTAATGATAGCTTGAGAAATTTAATAAGCTATTTGTTGGTTTATTTATTCTTCGGCATTCATAAAGACATAATTCTAGATTGTTATTTTCCTTTCTGTTTGGCCTTCTTCATGTTTACAGGGTACAAGCTCTGTTAGTTAAAGCTGCTTTGCATTTAACAAACTTTCGCTTCAATTGAAATACAATTAAGTAAACTTAAAGTAAATCTATGGTAGTCACACACATAAATGCACGCACACACACACAGCCACACACATCTAATAATACTCTGCATTTGTGTGTGTGGGTCCACTCTGCTTGGCAGGGTGGACCGTACAAGGGGCTGGGAAATCATATGCATATGAGCTGTGCCACGTTCTCTGCTCGCATTGGGGTTGTCCAATAAAATGTAATTGGAGTTTTCATTTAATAAAGCGAAAGAAAAGAATAAAAAAGCAAAATAAATAATAATAAACGAAGCAGGGCACAACAATTCTAAACCGGTTTGCATTAGGCGTCCCTTTCACGAGTTTCCCCAAACGAAAAAGAAAAACGTTGCATACAAACAGGCTGTGCCCAACTTTGTGGCGTGTCTCTCCGTCTCCCTACCTCCCTCCCTCCCTCTGTCCATTGCTCTCTCTCTCTCCCTTCATCGCTATCACTGAGTATTGTTGTGCATACAATGTATCCACTAGAGCATCATCATAGATGTATCCACTCAGTCGTTGTTATTGTTGTCAAGAGCATTGGCTACCCCTGTCTCCCTCTCCCTCTTTCACCATCCCTTCTTTCTCACTCTCTCGCACGCCTTCTCTCCCTCTCTGCACGCAGCTGCTGGCACGCTGCTCATAAAACTCACTCAAGTAAAAGTACGAATGGTTTTCGATATGAAATGCATGAAACTGACAGCCAAACATATTGCGCCGCATTTTTACCACACAGCAGAGTCGCCTCCAATTCAAGCTGCACCACCCACACCCACACCCCCAACCACGCCTCTCCGCACACCACGTCAGGCCTTCAATAACCAGTTGCCCGACTGACTGTTAGCTACCATTTGGCCATTGCCTATCACTCCCACTCTCCGCTCCTCCTCTTACCCATCTGCCATTCCCACGTTCTCTCTCCCTCTCTATTTTGATATGCGAGATATGAGCCTGAGCGCTTTTCCTATCAAACACCTTCCCCCGTCCTCCCACAACTGCACCACCGCCAGAGGCAACCAGCTACCCGCTAGATTCTGCGGACTGAGGCTATTTGGCATTGTTGAAGCTTGTTTTATGTAAAGGATATACACAATTTCCATATGCGACACACGAACTTCGCGTCTCGCACCACCCACACTAGATACTATATGCAGTTAACCCACTCAACCGTCTACACCACCCGCCGCCTCGTCACCCACCCACGTTATTGTATCAAAATGCATTTTGTACACTCGACAAGATACTCGCGCACATTATATGAAACGTTTCACTCTAAATATGCAACTAGGCAACACACCAGCTGATTGCAACCGGAAGGCAAGTGTGACGCAGCGTTGCCACTTGGTATTAGACTCAGCCGTTACATTCGCGTGTCTGAGAACGAAATGGAATTGGATTAAAGAAGGGCTAGCTTGCTAACTTGCTAGCTGTGTCGACTTTTCCGCAGAATACGTGAATAACTGAAGGCTAATATGAAAAATTGTAGAAAAAATATTTTAAGTAACAAAAACAATCATGATTGTAGAATTTAATTTCCATCAGATCATATGGGAGCTATATGATACGCCCGAATGCGGCAAGAGAAAAATGGATCTATGCCAGGTTTCAAGACTATAAAAACTGAAACTCAAGGAACAAACAGACGGACATGTTTATATCGGCACGACCGATGACACTAAGAAGAATAGTCTTATATTATAAATAGGCCTACGGGGCTTAGGCCTAGCAAGTTGGCGTTAGACTTTGCCACAATTAGCAAGTGTTTAACGCATTTTGATAATAATTCCCAAGTGGTTTTAATGCTAAGTGAATCGGCCGAGTTCAGATCAA